ATGACATTAAATCCAGTTGACATTGACAGCGTCTGGGGGCATAAGTAACCAAGTGCTTACAGCCAAAAACTCTTTTCTCCTTTTTTTGGGCTAATTATTCACTGGTAGCCTAAGAGGATATTTCAGCTATTTCATGGCTGGTATATGAGTTCACAGGTTTCAATCTGAAACTGGCCCTAGCAAGAGCAGTGGTTCGTAGTGTAGGTATACGACAAAAGGAAGATCTTCCACGGAGCTGGTGATATTGCTCGGTAGACCGACGGTCCGAATGTTGTTGTTCGGAACTTGTATATATGCAGGCTTATCTTGAAAATGTCGTAAGCGAGATTCAGGCATTTGTCAAATATCTTGTGTTGTATGATAATACAGTAGTATCGACTACCGAATCCAAATCCTAATTGATTGACATATATCATTGTGCTGAAGACGCAAAGCGATATTTGAGGTCTTATTCTCAGGTCAAAGCTTTTTGACTTCTCCTAAGTTCTGCACGATTAGAACGTAGAAATTCTTTAGTCTCTGGTGGTGAGTGCTCTCATAGTCGCTCATGAACGTCAGTAAATCCAGGGGCATAGCCAAGCCACTGCCTTCTACTAAGCACAACAAGATATTTCGGGTTAATACCACAAACATACTATAAGAGTTAATTCGTAATATTAGACATTTAATAGAGGGCTAATGGATGATATATGTTAATCTATACATTAATACGTGAAGCAAAAACTTTGTATCCCTTTTTACGAAAATTGCGCGGACAGTGGAGTATGAAATTTCCCTCACTTATAGTGAATATAGAGAAAGAGTGCAGAATGTTAATATTTTTTTAAATTATGCATAAAAAATACATTAAATCAATAAAAAAAAACATTACACACGCTACCATGTATATGATACACACGTGCATGCATACTATTTGTTTATTGTCAAACTTTTCTTATTGCTTATGATCTGTGGTCAAATTGAGAATAGATTAAATATTGTTTGTCTTTATTATTATTTGTCTAAAGTGTAGTCTTAGCGAGATCTTTGAAGAAGTAGAATAGTCTTTGACTAAAATCATAATAGTGTTTATACAAACTTATAATTTCAATTAATTATAGTCGAATTTCGACTACTGGGCGACCACTAGTATTCTTAATTAGATTACGGTTGTAATGAAATTAAGGAACGAATCATAAAGTAACCACTGTCTGAAGTGATTGAGTCCCATTTAAGAAATAATTAAAAAGGTGAATTCTATGATCATTTTTTATACTCAAGTTTTCAACTCGACAATTTTTTTCCTTTAATATTTGCAATTCGGTTAATAAGAACCTAGATTGCTAATGAATATAATTCCGGAAAACATGACGGTTGGTAACCTTAAAGCAAAGAATGATAATATTCTATCTGACTGTTTATCACAAAAACTACTCGGATTGATTGATATGATCCAATGATTTCATTTATCACTACACGTTTTAACACTGATCATTTTTGCCACGTCCTGTCTGGCTCTGAAGCGAATATGTCTTTGTTTGCAAAGCGCTTTGACATCGCGTCCGTGAAGAGGTTTGAACTGAGAAAGAAGCTTTTCTTTTTACTTACGCGAGTCACCGATATTACGTGGATACGTGGTTAAGTACATAGATATAACAATGTGAATATCGCCAACCACTTGGAGACATGAGTTCTAAGGTCTCAGTTTTTACAGTACAACGACTGCGCCACCCGTCAAACGCATTACTGCTTCACGGCAGAAATAAGGGGGTGGTGGTACCCCGTGTGGATTCAAAAGACGTCCTACCACCAGTAATTACGCAAATTGTAATTTTGCGAGTTTGATTTTTATTACACGATGTTTATATTCCTTCAGCGTGGAAATCAAACGTGAACATTTGTTAAGTACGTATTTCATTACAGAAATAGGTATCCGCCTGTGGGATTCGAACACTGGTATACTAGTACCGACATCGAATGTCTTAACCTTTAAAAGCATACAATATTTTCAGGGAAATCACTTAAACATTACTAACAAAATTTTCAGATTTTTTCCCTACATATCTGCTGGTAACCTAAGAAGCTATTACAGCTACGCGCTGACGGGTAGGTGAACTCGCGGACTCAACCTTAGAGAAATTGCTAACACTGGCCTTGGCAAGAAGAATAGCAGAATCTACCACCGGATCGGAATCGCGACCCACTGAAAAGACCCAGCGAGAAACTCAGTGGGTTGTTCATCAGAGTTCAAGCTGGTCTAACAAAAGGCTATCAAAGCGTTTCATTGATTCCGTTATGTCCAAAATAAACCTAAACAAGCTTAAAATTAAGACCGTATTTCATATATAAGCCAAGTTGGCGTCCAAAATGCTGGGAGTCCTCAACAGAGCGAAGCGGTACTTCACGCCTGGACAAATACTTTTGCTTTATAAAGCACAAGTCCGGCCTCGCGTGGAGTACTGCTCCCATCTCTGGGCTGGGGCTACCAAATACCAGCTTCTTCCATTGGACTCCATACAAAAGAGGGCCGTTCGGTTTATCGATAATCCCATCCTCACGGATCGTTTGGAACCTCTGGGTTTGCGGAGTGACTTCGGTTCCCTTTGTATTTTGTACCGTATGTTCCATGTGGAGTGCTCTGAGGAATTGTTTGAAATGATCCCCTCATCTCCTTTTTATCATCGCATCTCCCGCCATCGGAGCAGAGTTCATCCATATTATCTGGAATCGCTACGTTCATCCACCGTGCGTTTCCAGAGGTCTTTTTTGCCACGTACCATCCGGCTATGGAATGTGCTCCCCTCCACGGTGTTTCCCGAGCGCTATGACATGTCCTTCTTTAAAAGAGGCTTGTGGAGAGTATTAAGCGGTAGGCAGCGGCTTGGCTCTACCCCTGGCATTGCTGAAGTCCATGGGCGACGGTAACCACTCACCATCAGGTGGGCCCGTATGCTCGTCGGCCTAAAAGATCAATAAAAAAAAATTTACTTTGACTCTATTTACTTGCATATATAGGTACATATGATTTCGGTCCTTGTAATCAAGTAATAATGAAACGAAAAAGAAAACCCGCGCTGCAAACTACTTTTTGCAAGACCGAGAAATTGATGACGTCCCATTAAAATACCGCAGTACACGTGCCACGGAAAAAAAGCTCTTGAATGATCTCGACGAAGCTCGAGCTTAATGTGGAAAGCTAGAAAAAAGCTCAATCGATTATGTCGTTTTCACACGCCAATATGAATCAATTCGAATAACTTGAATGTTACAGTGATTTGTTCTTATTGAAGTTCAATGAATACGACTTCTTAGCAAATCAATGCGCCTGTCTGCTTAGCAGTAGAGACACAGGACGGGAGAACCATCCCGTGAGATCTCGCGATACGATTTACTTTTTTTTTTATTGCTTAGATGGGTGGACGAGCTCACAACCCACCTGGTGTTAAGTGGTTACTGGAGCCCATAGATATCTACAACGTAAATGCGCCACCCACCTTGAGATATAACTTCTAAGATCTCAGTATAGTTACAACGGCTGCCCTACCCTTTAAACCGAAACGCATTATTGCTTCAGCAGAAATAGGCAGGGCGGTGGTACCTACCCGCGCAGACTTACAAGAGGTCCTACCACCACTAATTACGCAAATTATAATACGCAATAATAATTACGACGCAAAATTACGAAGATTCCGCTAATTCCAAATTACCTTAACCGAAGACAAATTTAGTATATTATACTGGGCATTGTGTCTGTGGGACTTCCCAACTAAACTCCTGCCACTTCCCCAATCACCATCACCTGATCCCTATTAGTCAATCATTGTCGCGTTATTCAAATATTATTAATCTTTTTAATGTAAAATAAAAGTACCTGATTGAACTTTTATTTTTTGGATACATCATTCTAGCTAGCAAACTTAACTGTATTTTTCTAATGTTTAGTTATTTAAAATCATCATATTCTTGACCTTATTTTTTAAAGAACAAAGATCATTTTCTTTCAATCGACGCGACAAGTAGAAGAAATTTCAATTCGAGAAGAGATAGGTTCATGCAACACTAACGCACGAAAGACTAAATATTATTTTGATGGCTTATAATCTGTCTGTCTGCAAATGCAATCGCATTCCCTGAACGTTCAATATCTCGAAAACTACCCTGAATATTTCGAAAACTCCAATAATTAAATTAACTATCGCGCATCGGACGTGCCCTCGTAAATTTCGATCATCGAGGGCGTGCACTATAGAATTTAATACAAAATACACCACTGACGGTATATTGATGTATGTATTTTTTTTCTCCCCCCAACCACCCCACCCTGCGTACATAATTGAGCGTTGTGAAAACTATCACGTCGGTAAATGACGCTTCCCCCCGCGCCCCGCAGTTTTCCAACATGGCCGAAATCAATAATTCGGCTGGGCAATGACTGCGATGACTTGGGCATGCGCACTAGAGCCGCCACGAGTCATCGACAACGCCTGAACTTGGACTTCACGAAAACGAAAGTTCGAACCAAATGATTCTACTCTCATTCTTGGCAGTCGACGATACCGTCCATAGCCCTATTGCATAAGTTGGGAGTTTAAAATTGTATCTTAAAAAGAACTTCCCGTATTTTCTATGATTCAACCACTAAATACACACTGAATAGATATTAGAAGTGAAATACTTATGTCATATTAATGCTAAAGGTATTTAATGTAAAAACAATTTAAGACAGAATACCACGTGTAACATTAAAAAAGGACAATAAATATACGCTTTAATTTGGTCGTGGCGAGAGAGAGCGAGACACACGATAGAGACCGCAAACTGTAAATGCTAGACGCCATTACATGAAATATAATGGTATTTCATAAAATTAATCTGCAGGGCTAAATTAACGAAATTTTTAAGTAGAAATTATGAGACAAAATCGATGACTTTAATTGTAATTGCGGGCACATTTCCTCCGAAACTACAGAAGAACAGAATATTGTAGATTGAGTATGAAAAAATGGTACAATAATTCTTACCTTCGATTCTAGTCTGGTTTGTTTCGATCCAATCTCTGTGTTTTCGATAGAGTTCGATGTTTTTGTTCCCTCTTGAAGTTGTATATCTTCTTCTATGTCTTCTACTACGGTATTGTCGATTTTTTTCTATGTAGCCCTTTTAAGCCCATTAAATTTTACATACTCATATAAAAAATTACGGGTATAATAAAGCAAACATTGAACTTATTCTTAATCGTAATTTTTATCTTTAATTTTGTACTCTTAAAGAAATGTAGAAGTCGTTTTAACAAGATAAAATTTTGTATTTTTGTTTTATTTTTTTGGTAATTTTTTGGCGTATTTTTTTACTTCTTATTTTAACAATAATTTTAAGGCCAATTTAAGGCACAATATTTTGTTTCGTTTAGTGTTTTTCCATCTTCCGTTTAGTCGGGATCGGCCGATGAACTTGTTCTAAATACATCCAAATCTTCGCCAAACTTTTTTTTAATAATACTTAGCCTTAAACGTAGGTCCGGAGTCACTAAAATTACTTTTCACTAGATATAGAGAGTTTGTGTAAAAAAACTGAAGGAAATCAATCGTAAAGTTCCAAAATTAACCAGTGTTGTTTAAATATACTTAAAGAAATCAAATGCTTAAAATCTTCTTTCTATTGTTTCCTTGTAAAAACTGTTGATATAAACATAAAACTTGTTCTATTGCGAAAAAACGTTTTTCTTTATCGTCAAATGGCGATTTCTTTAATTATTTATGCGCTAATTATCTTCTTTGTTATGAAATCATCGGTCTTTTGTGTTTCTTGCGCATTTAATTTATTGTGGACCGCATGTGTGACTTATGCGTCTCCTGTGCGATTTCATGAAGATTTCTTTTCTTTTTTCAGGATGCTCCTCCCGGAAGGTCGTTGATGTTGTATTTAGCCCTTTTGACGGTTCCAAGATGAGCGTCCCCAGTTGCCCTTAACACTAGAGTTACAGCTTATTTCGAGAGAAAAAAAAAACCGGTCTTTATTATAAGTCTATGGCAAGAGTTCAAGTGTTGCTGAATACGGATTAAAAATCACTTATCAACTATTTATGAATATTATGTGAATATTAATAACAAAAAAAAAACTGAATGGCGTCTATTGCATAAAACTATCGAATGTGACGGCGGCCGGATAGACGAACGGAACGCATGCGCGCGGATTTTTTGAAATTTCGACACCAAAAAATTGGTTTATATATTTCGTTTTAATTTTTATTCTTCCTTTTAAATATTATTTGAATTGTTTAGGCCGTTTTGCGTTTTTGTTCCGAACAGTTTGGTCGAGTCTTTTGTACAGTTCTTTTTGGGGTATTTTTTGCGCGTTGCGTAGGTGGAAAGCACGCGGCGTCACAGACCTCGCCGTTCACACTGAAATCGCTTGGTTGCAATGCTGCTGCACTGGGCTAGCCTCCCTGTGACTGGGGTATGAGGGACCCCTGTCCCCCCGAATCCCCCGACCCACCCCGATGACTGTACACACCTCGGAATCATCAAATAATGATTTTACTTGTTCATACATATAATAAAACTCGTTCGCTTTAGACAAGCTAGCGTTCTAAGCGCGTACGTTTGTTGATGTGTGCGTCGTATTTGGGTACACACAATTTACGTAATTAAATTTCGTTGATGCTTTTATGAATTTGGATCGATATTTAGCAATACGTACGAACTTAACGCACGCTGAGGTTTTGCAGCGCAAGCAGATTATTACATTATATACGCCAAGCTAGGGCGGTAAGGTCAATGAACTGGTAGGTACACGGGCAAAATATGATTCGGAAATCCAAACCGAAATTAGTTGAGTTTTCTGTAGAAGACGTGGTTTGCTAAGAGCCTTTTAAAGCGGTAATGTAAATCGCATAAAAATTAATACATTGCGCTTCATAATCGAGCTTTGTATGGTAGATTCACAATATCGCTTACACGTTGCGCGCTATCGAGTAGGTAATCCATGATGCAAAGTAGCGATCCCAAAAATGTGTATTTCATAATTAAGGTCACACTCTGTTATTGTACGGTCGGCAATGAAAACTTTTTTTCTTTCAAATAACTGTTTGGATGCCTAGCAGTAAATACCATTGCACCATCTGCCAGATTTGGTAGGTAGTGTCTAGAACCACTGCCTTCATCCATAGTGGGTTCCCAGAAATATTTTTTGCCAAAGATCATCCAGATTTCTAATTATTTTACCTCCATCGTACTGAGCATACGGACATATATAACAATACCATAAAACGAGATTCTAAAAGAATTCGATATGAGAACCCTCCCATCGTAGCCGCTGGAAACTACATACCCGACCCAGTAGACCGAATGGTAAACCGTCGACGTCGCCCAAAGCACGTCATTACGGATCCTCCTGATCCATTAACGGTGCTTTTAGGCACCACAAGCACCGATCACCGTCCTCGTCGAACCCGTCGCTTGCGACGAAAGGCTCGACGAGCGAACTAGCCCATAGACACAGCCCACTGAGTTTCTCACCGGATCTTCTCAGTGGGTCGCGTTTCCGATCCGGTGGTAGATTCTGCGAAGCACTGCTCTTGCTAGGCTCAGTGTTAGCAACTCTCCGGTTTGAGCCCCGTGAGCTCACCTACAAACGTTAGGGTGAAGCTTTAATAGGCTCTGAAGGCTATCAGCATAGGTAGAAAAAAAAAAAAAAATACTCAGTGGTAGGCAGTTGGTTGGTTGTACCCCTTGCTGTGATACATAGAGTCTGTCTAGTGACGCAATAAAGAAATAAACAAAACCAAAGCAACAAGTTGTGTACAGTTTCTCATTGATTTATAATTAAATCTGGGCTTATTGACTTCTTTTCTTTCGTTTATTCAGTCCTCAGACACCAAGCGCCAGAATAAGGCCGCGCCCAAGACTGTACTGCTTTCGGCAAAAATAGGCAGGGTGGTTATACCCACCCGTGCGGAATCACAAAACGCCCTACCACCAGTAAAGAGCCTAGCATATTATCAACACTTTTAGATTTCAATATCCATCTAAGGATATTGCTATTTGAAAACCAAGGTGCTTTTGTTAATTTCGAAACCAATCTTTTGAAGGACGCCTTCATGGGCTCATGATCCACTTGCTCATGTATGTGGTTCTGATACTCGAGACCTCAAATTTTCAAGGTTCTCCAGAAATCCGTGTGAGCTTAACTTAATTGGCTACACTAAGGACTTTGAAGTGTTAATTACCACAAAAACCGGCATTAAAAGTAATTCATTCTATTGAAGTTTTTTTGCTGACCGTACCCAGGCAGCTTCACAGAGCTTCGTCCAATTTTCACATAAAAAACTCTACTATGACACAATACATCTACTTTAACATTTTGCAATGGAGTAGTCTTTATATACCTAAATACAAAAATGTCTGATCCTTATAGGCAGAGCCCGAAAGCGTAAGGTTGGAATTTTGGCAATGGATGCACTTTGTGTTCTAAACATCCTCTATGCAAGGATTTTAGAAAGCTCATCTTTATGGGAGTAAAGTGTAAAAATAAAGTGTAAGTTGTATGGTCAATACAACTTACAATCTCAAAGTACGAAACTAGACTCTGGCGAGAAAGAACTGTAAATGTATTTTGGGATTTTTCTTCAAACCACTTTTTCTTCTTTTCTTCTTTTGTTTGAAGAAAAATCCCAAAATACATTTAAATTTCTTTACATTTATTTGTATGTTTGTCCTCTGTATGATTCTAATTATCTGATTAGGGTGAAACTTGGTAAAGCTATTGTCATAGTTCATTGTCATAGTGGCATCAAAAATCACATGGCATGCGGAGTCGTCGCGGCCTAAAGGATAAGACGTCCGGTGCATTTGTATCTAGCAATGCACCGGTGTTCGAATCCCGCAGGCGGGTACCAATTTTTCTAATGAAAAACGTATTTAACAAATGTTTACGATTGACTTCCACGGTGAAGGAATAACATCGTGTAATAGAAATCAAACCCGCAAAATTATAATTTGCGTAATTACTGGTGGTAGGACCTCTTGTGAGTCCGCACGGGTAGGTACCACCGCCCTGCCTATTTCTGCCGTGAAGCAGTAATGCGTTGTAACTATACTGAGACATTAGAACTAATATCTCAAGGTGGGTGGCGATATTTACGTTGTATATGTCTATGGGCTCCAGTAACCACTTAACACAAGGTGGACTGTGAGTTCGTACATCCAACTAAGCAATAGAAAAAGATGTGTCGACTCCACATAATAGGCACCGCAGTCAGTGATAATCTTAACATCACAAGAGCCTCTAGATACGCCATTGCGTGTGCATATACAGACTTTGAAACAATTTATTTAATTCATAGTTGCATTGGAAAAACTGCACTGACATAAACTCTCAGTTGCATTGGAAAAACTGCTCTGACTAGCACGGGCATGCATCCAAGGCAACAATTTGAGGAACAGTCAAATTGGCAAGCTTTACAGCTAGTAGTGATTGCCTTGTAAGGAGTGGTTCTAATTCAGCATTAAAGTACCCTGCTTAAGCCATGTCTATGTGATACTGTCGTCTACTATTTCAAGGATATTAACTGAGACTGGTCGAGGACTATTGTTAGCTTTTATGGGTACCACTATTCTGTCTATTTTGATCGTGATGCAGACATGCTTGGAAGAGTAGGGCCGCTTGTATACAGTATAGTGACTCTTCGACCTCATGTCTCAAGGTGGTTCACGATCCTCACGTTGTGAGGTCTATCGGTAAAGACAACCACTTAAAATCAGCTCTTTTGAACCTCAACCATTTAATTAACTAGTAGTCGCTCAGTGGTGTGGATTGGGAGAGGCCTATGTCCAGCAGTGGACGACTGTGGGCTGTTGATGATGATGATGATGATGATGATGAGTCGCCCTGTAGTCGAAATTCGACTATAATTCATTGAAATTATTGACAATTATTATGGTGATCACAGATTTCGCTAAGGCTACACTATAGACAAATAAGATTAAAGACAAAAAATATGAACATAGAGTATAAATGCGTGTGTGTGTGTCAAATACATGGTAGTGTGTATAATGCATAGACCTATTACTTCAGTGTTATAATGCTTTTATTATTAATTTAATGTATTTCTTATGCATAATAATAAATAAATAAAATTGCATTCTACACTACTTCTCTATATTCTATATAAGTGCGGAAAATTTCATACTCCTCCAACGGCGAAATTTTCGTAAAAAGGGGTACAAAGTTTTTGCTTCACGTATAATTTATATATAGATTATTATAATATTTTTGTGTTTAGTAAGTCAACAAACTTAATCGGGTAAATAATAAGCTTTCACGAACGCTCATGGGAATAAAAATTCTATTCTTTCGACTCTAAGGTCTAATTTTCATCGGTATAACTATTGTACATATAACCCGATTTTGCAGTAGCTGGAATTCCGTCCAAACCCGCACGAGCAAACACTATTTATATATGTATAGGAAAACAGGAACTTTAAAGGTAAGCCAATTTTTCTTCAAATCCTGATTCTTGTAGTCCAGCCATTGGATACGAGGCCAAATTTTCCAGTTTTATCGAATAACTTGAAGTTAGTGAAAATTGCATTGAATGTTTTCGCTACACGGGTCAAGCGCGTAAAAACGTATTTATTAAAGAGCCCAAAATATACACGCACCAAACTCTGATTTAATACAACGTAATGATGGGCGAAATAGCTATATGCACTAGTATTAATCATTGTGTTTTGTCTCTCTCGCACACGCGCAGTCGTCGTCATCCCCCGGGGCCCACTGATGCCCCCCTGTCAATATATAAAATAACTGCATACATAGTCAGTCGGGCATACGTATTTTATACAAAATCGTCAGATCATTACATTATAGGATGGCGCCATGTTTCGCGCGTGGATACTCTCACAGTTTGTGATTTTATGGAGACACGTCACCTATCTGATATTTTTATTTTTTATTTATTGCTTATATGGGTGGACGAGCTCGCAGCCCACCTGATGTTAAGTGGTTACCGAAGCCCACAGACACTACAACGTAAATGCCGCCACCCACCTTTCGATATAAGTTCTAAGGTCTCAAGTATAGTTACAACGGTTGCCCCACCCTTCAAACCGAAACGCATTACAGCTTCACGGCAGAAATAGGCAGGGTGGTGGCACCGTGCGGACTCACAAGGGGTATTATCACCAGTAAGAGTGATTTTAAGTGGTTACCGGATTTTAGAGACCAAAGTCTCAATGGTCTCAGTGGTCCTGGTCAAAGCGAGGCACGACTTCTTTATGGCCG